AACGTGGTGGGTTTCACTGAAGAGTTATCACTGGAAGCACTAAAGCCCCAGGGGTGGTATGGATGACTGTGGAATAACTTGGTGTCACTGTGGAAGGAGATGTAGCTCAGCACTTTTGTTCACTTCAGAAAAGTCACCTGTTGTTCCAAATGTTGCTAAAGACATTCTGTGGATATTTATGGCTGAGTTATTCCATTTTTTTGACACATTTGAAGAGAAGGTGGTGCCATCAGAGGGCCTCAGGGATCTGCTTTTTGCCCTGCTGATAATTTCTGTTCTTTTCACTACATTCTCTTTGACATTGGCAGCTGCTGGTAGAGCATGACTTGTGGTAGGAGGACTTACTGTGGTAGTCATATGAAGAACAAATCTCTGTGAAGTTAGTTGCACTGGAGACTGATGTTTTTTTGTAATGGAGCTATTTCCTTTACTTGTTTCTTTTACTTCTTCAGACTCAGTATTGCTTCTGTTCCATTGCAGTCTTACAATGCAGAAAAATGAGAGTCATTCCACAGGAGGGTTGCAGGGTGTTGAGTTCAAAGTTTATTTTATAGAGAACCTGCAAGAAATTCACTTTTTAAAATAGTTTTATTTAACCAAACCAAGTTACTCACTGAAGACCCAAATAAGTTGGTAAAATAAGTTAGTGTTATGCAATAGAAATCTCACTGTTTTATCACGTGTTGATACTGGAAACGTTATGTCCCTAAGTGTTAATGACATAAGAATCACCTAAATTAATATTGATGATCAATAAAATTGATCTCATCTTGATCAATATCAATTGCAATATTGATCTCAGTGTGCTGGTGGAGATGTTGTAGGATAGCTCACGTGGCTGGAATGTTGTCATGGAGGGCTACATACTGCTTAGGATAGACAGGACCAGGAAGGACATGGCGACAGAGTTGTCCTGTGTGAGGCAAGACTTGGAATGTATTCAGCTCTGACTTAGGGTAGGAGTAAGTCGAGAACTTATGAGTCAGGATAAAGGGGATTACTCGTAAGGGTGACACTGTTGTGAGTGTTTGCTACAGGCCAACTGATCAGGAATAAAAAGTGGATGAGGTTTTCTGTAGACAGCTTGAAGCAGCCTCAAAGTCACAGCACTGGTTCTTGTGAGGGACTTTACCTACCTTGACATCTGCTGGAGAAGCAACACAGCACAAACAGTCCAGGAGACTCCTGGAAAGCATTAATTACAACTTTCTGAAACAGGTAGTAGAGGATTCCCCAAGGAGTGGCATGTTGCTTGACCTCATACTAACAAACAGGGAAGTCTTGTTGGAAGTGTGAAGGTTGGGAGCCACCTTGGCTGCAGGGATCATGTGATTGTGGAGGTCAGTACTGGATAAAGAGGACACAAGGCAGCAATTAAAATTGCAACCATGGTATTCAGGTGAGCTCACATTACCCTCTTTAGGGATCTCTTGGAAAAATCCCATGGGAATTGGCTCTGCAGGGAAGAGGGGTCTAAGAGGGCTGGTTGATGTTCAAGTACCACTTTCTCCAGGCTCAAGAATGATGAATTCCATTGAGAAAGGAATCAGGCAAAGCAGTCAAAAGACCTGTGTGAATGAATAAAGAATTCCTGTCAAGCATGAGCAGGAAATACCAATACAGGAGATTGAAGCAGGGTCAGGTCACTTGGCATGCGTATAGAGAGGTGATCAGAGGAAGTAGAATTGAAACAAGGAAGACCAAGGCCCATCTGGAATTAAATCTGGACAAGGATGTGAAGGACAACAAGAAAGGCTTATACAAAGGCTTATCCATAACAAAAGGAAAGCTAAGGATCATGTGGCCCATTACTAAGTGGATGGACGCCCTTGTAGCTGAAGACACGGAAGAGGCAGAGCTACTGAGCATCTTCTTTGCATTGGTCTTCCCTGACATTACCAGCCCCAGGAATCTCTCTCCCAGCTGCCCAGGGTAAAAGAAGGTCGGGTTCCTTGCTCAAGCACGACTGGGTGAGAGAACCCTTAGACAAACTTGACATCCACAAGTACATGGGCCTTGACAAGATGCATCCATGAGTGCTGAAAGAGTTGGCAGACCCCAAAGCTAGGCTGTTTGCAAACGTCTTTGAAAGGTCTTGGTGATCAGGACAGGTTCCCAAATGCTGAAAGGAAGCAAATGTCATCCGAATCTTCAAATGAAAGAAGGAGGACCCAGGAAACTGCTTAACAATCAGCCTCACCTCAATCCCAGAGAACTGCAATCATTGGCAGAGGGTCTGGCTGTAGACCTGTCACTGCTGGTGTACCCCAAGGTTCAATACTGGTCCCAGTGTTGTGTAACTTACTCATCAATGACTTGGACCAAGGTGCAGATGCCCCCTCAGCATGTTTGCTGATGACCTAAAGATGGGAGAAGTGGCCCCAGAGTGTTATGCATCCCTTCAGAGGGACCTCAACAGGCTGGAGAGATGGACAGAGAACTGTGTCAAATTCAACAGAGGCAAATGCAGGGTCTTGCACCTGGGGAGGAACAAGCCCATGCACCAGTACAGGCTGACGTGCTGGGCAGCAGCTGTGTGGAAAAGGAGCAGGGGGTCCTGGTGGATGATAAATTGTCCGTGGGCCAGCAGCATGCCCTGTGGGCAGTGAGGCCAGTGGGGTCCTGGAGTGCATTAGGGAGAACAGCAGGTTGAGGTGGGTGATCCTTCCCCTCTGCTCAACCTCGTGAGGCGCATCTGGAGCTCTGTGTCCTGCTCTGGGCTCCTCATGTCAAGAAAGACAAGGAGCCCCTGGAGTTGTTGAAAGTCTGAGGGAGCTGGGCCTGTTCATCCTTGAGGAGAGATGACAGAGGGGATCTCATCAATATATCTGGGTATCTGAAAGGGAGGGTGTTAAGAGTCTGCTTAGTGCCAAACAATAGGACAAGATGCAATGAACAGAAATTAATGCACAGTAATTTTCACCTGAATGTGAGGAAGGACTTATCTCCTGCTTGCTCTGAAAGAGGCTGCTCAGAGAGGCTGTGGAGTCTCCCTCATTGAAGATATTCAAGAACTGCCTGTTCTTGAATATCCCAGTCAGCATATGGCAGTCATGTGCCATATGCTCTTGGATGACCCTCCTTGAGCAGGGAGGTTAGACCAGATGATCCATTCCCTTCCAATCTTACCCATTTCACATTTCATGATTCTGGAACAAAAGCTTCATTTCGCAAGAAAATGCCATGTTCCTATAAACAGACCTCATACTCAGAAGGGAATAAATCAAAAACCACATTGATAATTCAAATCCATGTTGCTATGGAGTGAGGTCATGAAACATATATGGATGGTGTTCTCAACGCAATGTTTTCTGGGCAGATAGCAATTCTAAGAGCATGCCAAAGATTTCTGCTGCCTTGTGAAGAATTGGAATTTTTACAATTAACGTGGAAAGTTGATGGATAATATTTTGTGGCCTTGAGCAGTGAGTGTCATGTGAATGCTGCCAGGAGCAAATTGAAAACTAAATCAGTCCAGAGGTTATGAATGAGGCTGAATTTGTGTGCAAAGTTCTTTTGCAGTACAAAACTGGAAACTGTGTATTAAGCATTAATTTTTCAAATGTTAGATTGAGAAGAATGAGAAAACCTCACCTTGAAGTCACATGATTGTGGTAGGTCTGCTGTTTAGCATATGTTGTTCAGTGAGGTTTTGGTGAGGGGTACTTTTTCTATTTATGAAGCAGATTGGGATGATCCACTTTTTAACTCCCACACATGAGCTCTCATATGACAGCACAGTAAATTCTATCATTAGTTATTCTTCAGCATCATTAATTATTTGGCTGTCCATGTATGTGGGTATTTCACCACCTGAATGAAGGAGATTTATACCTGAAAAAAGTAGCTTATTTCTTTTGTCTGCAAGCCTCGCCTACTTTCTTATGCTTTTTCCTATGAGTGATTTTTTCAGAGGGTTTGTGTTTTGTTGTTTTTCTTTTTTTTTAAATTTTATTTTAGATTTTTTGTTCGTTTTGTTTCGGGCAGGGGCCAGAGAGAATAAGGGCTGGTTCTATTAACTTGTTCATTTGGGTTTTTTTATTGAGTGTGTATTATTCCCAGCTTAGCTTCTTTGTATGCAACACTGTTAAGAGCAATGTGAAGAGTATATATTATATAAATCATACATAATTATGTAGATATTGGTATAATATGTAACTAATTATGATAACTAATTATGTATCAAGTATGTATAGAAACCCAAAAAGATATTAAGCATAGTACAGAAATATAGATAAAGGTAGGAATATGTGACCCTCCTGTTTATTTTGAGTTAGAAATCCTTCTTTTGAGCAGTTGGCTTTCTAGAAGGAAGCAAATTTTCCTACTTCCTATTTGAATTCATTGTTTTTCAAAGAACAGTTGGACAATTCTGTGTTTTGTCAGGAGTCACACCCTAAGCAAGGTTACCTCTCCTCAGTGGCAGACAACAGTGTTTTGGAAATTTAGAGTTAATTATTAGGTGTAATTATCTTATCCAAACCCCTAAGTGTATGGAAAATCTGATTATGGTCTCATACCTAAGAATTATTAGAAATAATTGTCTAAAGAATTATTCTAGTAGCAAGACTGCTACAGTATAAAACTGGTATAGCTGGGAAAGAAGTGAGGTTCTTATTTGAACTGAATAGAAGGAGATAGCTCTTGGCTCCTTATTAATAGATATCATTGTGTGTGTGTTTCCTTGTTTCTTCAAGAGAAGATTCTACGTGTTGAATAAAATGAAAAGCAAAATGATGAATTTAAAGGGATGACAGTGTCTCATGTTGTCAGGTGCCTATTTCTGTACAGCTACTGCAGACAGCAAAAATGTTTCTTAGATAAACATTATTAAGTACTGTTTTAAATTTAACAGGGATTATCCTGAAGCTACTTAGAGTTTTCAGATTCTATGAGGGAAACTATCAGAAAGTGGCTAATGATATGTTACATTGGTGATTTTCTTAAGATGTGCATGGCCCTTTCCCCTCCTGTAGCTAAAGTACAGTTGTTTTCCACAGCAACAGTCTTTCTGGAGTTTTGGAAAAGACGGAGAGCTGTATTGACTTATGATTGGGACCTCATAGACTGGGAAGATGAAGAGGTAAGGAGAAATAGAAGTTTACATGTAAACCATGCTATCAGCATGGTTAAAGTCTCAGTATCTATCCATATTGTATGTTAGTCATCTGAGTTTGTCATTCAGATCATATTTGTATTTATAGCACTAGTTGCAGAATACAAAGGTATGCTTGAGATTGTACAAGGATACTTTGCTTTTTGCAACTAACGTTATAATTCCAAATATAATTGTACATTTATTAAAAGTATCCTTGGAAAAACTGAGTGCAAATACTTCCTGTATTTGTGTTTGTAATACTGTACAAATACAGAGGACAGTAGCTGCTTCTGATGTCAGTACAGATGCCTTTCAGTTCCATGGTTTCTTGTTCTGGAAATTCTTGATCCTGCATAAAAATAAGACCAAGACAAGCAACAAGACAGAAACTAGATTTTGTATCCTTGGAGAGGCATAGCCTATCCTTGAACATTCTGTTATCAGCATCAGCAATAATAATTTATTTTATTCTATAAATTACTAGTCAGCATAGCTGTAGTTTACCTGTATTGGTGATTTAATTGCAGTTTAAGTCTATAGACTTCACTTGTTTTGCAGCTTTCTGTGGATGGGTAGATAGAAGCTGGTGGCTATTTTTAATAAATGCTCTCATAACACAACCATTCTAAGTGGGCCTAATTTATAGTTTTGTTACCAATTTTCGCAGACAATCTAGTGTCTAAGTCAGCAATATGACCCATGATTCTTTTTAACACCCTCACATAGTGGGGAAGGCTCCTGTGGTTTCTGTTCTTTGGATTTTCAAAAGAGCAAATTATTTAGGTATTTGAGTTGCAGCATTATGAAAAATGATCCTTATCAGTATAATATTTTACATGTATGTCTGATCCTTGAAAGAAATTAGTAATACAACAAATGGAATCCACCCTGTCATTCCAGGAAGAGCTGCGTCCCCAGTTTGAAGCTAAATATTCCCAAGTGGAAAGAGTAAATCCCATCACAGGAAAACCCGAACCTTTTCAGCCTTTCCCTGATAAGCTCAGTCGACTGATGGTGTCTGTCTCAGGAATATTCTTCATGGTGATGTTTCATAATATTAGAACTGTTGTATTGTAATTCATCTTACTCTGATGTAAATAGTAACTCAGCATGAGTGCATTCATTAAGATTAGTGGATTTACATAACATAGGCAAAACTGCTTGTCTGTCTTACTGCTTTGTTTCCCAAGATGGAGTATAATTATATTGGAAAAGAACAGTAAAGAAATGCTGTAACTCATCTTAGTTTTTTGTTCTCTCAAATTCTGCTCTCCAAAACAAATATTAGTCTTTAAAACACTTGTTTTATTATTTCAGTAGATATAATTTCAGATGTGATTCCTTTTGTTCTAATACCTCTGCTCATAAATACATATCTGTAGATTTCACTGGTCCTTACTGCAGTGTTTGCAGTTGTGGTGTATCGACTGGTAGCCATGGAGCAGTTTGCTTCTTTCAAGTGGTATTTCATCAAGAAGTATTGGCAGTTTGCAACATCTGGCACTGGAGTCTGTATCAATTTTATGATCATCATGTCACTCAATGTTGTAAGTCTTCTGTTCTTTTAAAACAACAATTAATTTAAAAGACTAATTTTTAAAAGCTTACTGAGTTACCCATGTGTTAGATATATACATGTTCATGCTTTTTCAGGTAGCAGTATCTGAAGCTAGTATTGCAGTGGATTTTTCTCCTCTGATACAATGTTTGTTAATGTTTTTATCTAAATCCTCCTTGATTTGTCACTGCACATCTTCGTTTATGTTACCAAGTTACAAGGGTATAGATTGCTGCTTTTGATATTTGTATTTTTTTAATATTACCTTTTGCAGTAGATCTCTAATTTGAGATGTAGTTCTAATTTGAACTACATTATTTTCTTGACTGAGAATTTGGTTTCTAGGTTGTTTTTGATTAATGACTTCTTATTAAAATGCAGCGGTGATATCAGTGTTGTACAGTCCTGGAATCACTTTGATATGTGATTTTGGTATTAGGTTTTTTCTGTCATGTAACAGCACAGGTTTAATCATTTGCTCTTATAGCATTACACGGACAGAAACTCTGTTATTTCAGCTGCTTTATTATTCATCATCTTTCTGTTCTCATGCAAGTACAAACAGATAAAAAGGAATAATAACCCAGCAAACATTGGCTTTTAATTCTCTTAAGGAATTACACTCGCTGCAATAAGAAATAATTCTTCCAATCAGAGCCCTCTAGTTATTTGTGTTATTATGTATGATCACTCCACATCATAAAATGTATATTCAAGTGAACAAGCAAAGCTATCCAAAATAACTTGCTATTTGTAGTGTACTGTCGGAAATGTATTTCTGAGTCGGCAACTGCCTGGGGCTAAATGACATTTAAAATAAAAACTTGAGATGGTCAATATATAGAGAGAAAAGTTTTTGGTACAAGGCTGATATCCTCAGCAAAGGAAAACTGAACTGTGTTACCTTGATGCTATAGAGCAAGAGAATACCATGCTTTGGTGCTTGTTTTCAGTGTGGATTTGTCATCAATACAGCCAGGATGTCCTGTACTTACACCATTTCATTTCTTTTTTAGGTGTATGAAAAAGTTGCCTATCTCCTGACAGATTTAGGTATGTAGGTCTCTACTAATGGTGTGGTTCTTGATGGCTGTGGTATATACCTTTATAGTATACTTCTTTATTTAACGTTAAAGAAGTGTTTTGAAAACTTGATCTGTGAAGTACTTTTCTGGCATTTCCCTAAGCAAGTGAGAAATATCACAGAAAGAAAATACATTGGTATTTCAGCGAGGAAATAAAATAAAACTAAGGAATTTGTTCTTCTACTTTTAATGTTTTGTGGTATACATTGAAAAATAGTAATCTTATTTTGAAGCAAAAGTCAAAACTTATTCTTTCTTAGCATGCTGAAGAGTTTTTTCTATTTCCCCAAGTTCTTGGTTTATTTTTTATTAAGTTTTACTTTGATCTTTCAGATGGAAAAAATGGGTTAAGATAAAATTAGGTTGTCCCAGATAAAAATGTTGAGTCATGAATTTTATAGTAGCTCCAATTTGGTAACATTAAAATTTTATACTGAAGCCTATAGTCATGATTCAATCCAGACATAAAGCTTTCTAGCTTATAGAAAACAAGAAAACAAAGATAGAATTTAAGATCTCTGGCTGTGTCAATGTGTTACTATTTAGTGTTTCATTTTACATGCTCACTTTTAGCTCATGTCAAAATATGCAAGTAATTTTGTCTTGGTTAAATGCCAGCTGGCTGCTTAAATTCCACAGCTCCCTCTTTTGGTTAAAGTATTAAACGAGGTGCTCAAAGCTTTTTAGTGCTTCACCTAAGAGGCAGTAGAACAGGCTAGAAAAATTCAGAATTTATCACCAACTTACTTGAATTCTTAAAATATTTTAAAGTATTCTTTCATATCAAAATTATTTCTATTCCTTTTAAAGTATTTTGTATTGTTACAGGTCACAGAATGGGAAAGAAAATAATTGTTTAAGTGTTTGAGCAGTTTTTTCCCAAAATACATGAAAGCATTTTTTTCAAAAAAGATTTCTTGAATTAAATATAAAGGAGCATTAGGTGTTTCAGATAGGTAGCTCATTCTTCTTGCTAAGTGTTTTACATCAGAAAAGCACACCCTTCTGGAGACAACTGTCTCTATGTAAAGCTAGTAGTATCCTACTATATTTCTATCCAAATTTAGTCATCAGTAGACCAGGGTAGTTAAGTAGAACAAATTTTAACTGACAAATCCAGGAAGTTTTAACTTACAACTCATATGCTTTTACAACTCAAGTGCTTTAAAATTTTTACCAATGTACTATATTCCAACTTTGAGATGTCTATCAAAGATGGATTTTGTAAAAATTAATTTGTAAACATTATGACCAAATTCTAATTCAGACATAAATAATCTTAAGGAAAGATATCCAAGGCAGTGCAGACTCACACAGAGCACTTGTAGCCCTACTACACGTTTCTACATTTCTTTCCAAAAGAAGCCAAGAGAGAGCCTCTGTCCTTTCCTTGCTGAATTATAAACTGTTTGGCACTCCTCAAGCTTTATGAAAGGGAACTCCTAAGGATGAAGTAAAGGTTTTACAGAAGTATTTAGAGGGTGAGGATCTTGGATGAGAAATCAGCTAGCTTTTAGGTGACTCTTTCACCTCTGTTCCCTGGGCAGCTCTACTGATTCCAAGTGCTTTCAAGTTTTTGGGGGGGGTTGGGTTGGTTTGGGTTTTGTTTGTTTTGGAGTTTGGTTGGGTTTTGTGGGGATTTTTTGTGGTGAGTTTTTTTCTTTGAATCAAGGTATCTTTAATCTTATGATAAAAAATCCACACTGGTTTCGAGTTTTTTTCATGGAAGTGAAACAGGTATCTTCCCATAGCATTATGATTTATGCTGGACCAAGGGGTTCCTATCTTCTGCTTCCACATAGAAACAACGTAGTCTAAGCTGGGGTAATGAAAAGAAATCAATGGCAACATGATGGGGCACTATGATTTAAAACCATCACTTGTTTTGTTAATATTGATTGATTTGTGAGCAAACTTATGCATAACTCAATTTCATTTTTGTTTATATAATGGATGTTGTGTGTTTCTGAAGAGCACCCTAGAACAGAATCTGAGTGGGAAAACAGCTTTGCCTTGAAAATGTTCCTCTTCCAGTTTGTCAACTTGAACAGCTCCATCTTCTACATCGCCTTTTTTCTTGGCAGGTAAGTTATGTTTGCCAATTGCACTTAAAAGAAAACTTGCACAGAACTCAAAATCTTCAATAATTTTATAGATTTAAAGAAAATACAGGGACAGTATGAACTGTAAGGTTTAGGTATGAGTTGGTTTCTGGGCATAATTAAAACACTATTTCTAAATGTATGGAAGGGTTGGACCATTGTAATGTTTATTCATGAAACTGGAGAGTAAAAATTCTACTTTTTATTGGAATGTACATTACTTTCTTACTAAATAAGAAGGCAGAACTTTTGAAAATGCAGTCACTTCCTAGATGTGGGTCTGTATTTAGCCCTGTGTTAATAGGCTTTATTAATATTTTCTTGTTTATTCTGCTTGTGTTACATTTCCAATAATGCATTTCTGTAAATATTAAATATTGTCTGGCAAAAGTTATACAAGGGCAGGAAGCAAAAATTCTGGCTCTAATTTTTATGTGTATCTTTAGGTTAGAGCATGAGATACAGTACAGATGTAACCTTGCTTCATCTTCTGTTCAATTTTGTAATGATCACATGTACCATTCCTGCAGAACCTACAGAACATTTCAGGGTATCTTCTATAAAGTTTTACAGTATAATTTCACTTCAGGATTGTTTGGAAAAAAACTAACAAAAACAAAAAGCAAAGAAACAAAAAAAGTCTAGTAAAGACTGTTGGTGAGAATCTGTTTGTTGCATTCAGTGGGGTATTCACCATACAATACCAAAATTTCTGTGTGTATTGCTCTCTCCTGTACCTAACAGGACCAGGCATGGGTTTCTTTCTTTTATAACTTTCATTGAGGTCATCAAGAGCTGGGATTTGCTTTACAAATCAAGTGTACACTTCATGTGGGCAAGCAGATCCCTGTGCTGCGGTTAATTCCCATTAGTTGTAGTGGCTGGCTTGACTTCTTAGAAGTAGATTAGAGTTAGATGTTGAATATCTAACATCTAAAATCTCTGAAGCTAGGATTTTTATTCAGGACATAATAAAAGTTTAGGATTGTTTGCAAAATGATGGTCTTTGTTTGCATTCTGAAACTTCCATATCCTACACCAGATTTAAGCCTGTGTGATTTATTCTGTTGGTATTTCCTGAATTCAGTGGATGTTGTGAAACAACTACTGATACAAGGTGTTTCTGGAATGTCCGCTGAGAAACAGAAATCTTATTTTCCAGATTTGCAGGCCGCCCAGGAAAGTACAATAAGCTTTTTAACAGATGGAGGCTGGAAGAGGTAAACAATCTTGTTTTCTGCTCCTGTGATATTTCCATGAGTAAAAAGGTGGTGTCTGAAGCCCATCTAAAGATTTTATTATTCCAAGCACAGCAAATATTAAACTCTAGTTTATAGCAAAGGATAGGATCTAGGAGATGGATTTTTCCTTCTGTGTTCTCCAGTGTGCTGAGTGACTGTGCCTAAGGCACACGAGTTCTTTCTGTCTGTCTTAGGAAAAAGCCATCAGTAATAGACCCTTACCTCACATGCACCGTGACTCCTGTGAGATTGGAATCTCCTGGTATTTGGGATTTTTGGATAGAGGACATAAATATAAAGCCATCAGCTTTTTAATCAACTTGCTTAATTTCTCTCAGCACAGAAAAAAAAAATGGATCTGTTGGAATGGGCCCAGAGATGGGGCCACAAAATGAATCAGAGGGCTGGAGCAGCTCTCCTATGAAGGCAGGCTGAGTTGGAGATACTCAGCTTGGAGCAGAGAATGCTCCAAGGAGACATTACTACTGCCTTTCAGTACTTGAAGGAAAGAAGGGGACAAATTTTTAGTAGGGGCTGTTGAGACAGGGCAAGGATTAATGATTTTAAACTAAGAGAGGGTAGGTTTAGACTAGGTGTAAGGAAAGGTTTTTAAAATATGATGATGAAAATTATGATGAAACACTGGGACAGGTTATCTAGAGGGATGATGGATGTCTTATCCCTGAAAACATTCAAAGTCAGGTTGGATGGGACTCCTTTAGTTGAAAATGGCCACACTTACTGCAGAAGTTTGGACTGGATCACCTTAAGGGATCCTTCCAACCCAAAATAATCTATAATTTTATATTGTTCTAGAGGAAGATGAATAGTATGTTCAAAATTTAACTAGACTGTTAGAATTGCAACTTACCAGCATGCTTAAGTTTCTTCTTTTCTCTGAAAATCAAACTACTTCTACTGCAGCTTGGTAGCCAAAGAGTAAAGTATTATAACTTTGTAGTCAATTAATTGAAAAATAGTTCTGTAATTACTTAACATTTTAACATGGTAGTACACACACACACACACACAAACACAAGGATAGATATATATATAGATAACATACCAGTACCAGAAATTCTGCTAATGAAGTCTTTCTTTAGACTTAGATTATTGCAGATGAAATATTGCTCCATTTTTTTGAAATTAGTAAGTACTTATTGGTCTAAGTGAAACAGTCTCTATCATTTATCATAAATCTAGCACACATACCTTTAAATTAGCCAATATGATCTAATAGCTAACAATATGTCTGAAGATTGTTCAGCTGAAGTCTGTTAATTTTTATTTTATTACCATTTCTTTTAATATTTCTGCAGATGGCAAATAATGTTTTTAAACACACATACTTAATATTTTTTATTTACACTCTGAACAAATAAAAATAAATGAATTCTCTGATTCTAGCTGTTGATCTCTTCCACTTTATTTCAGTGTCATCCTAGTGGCTGCTTGATAGATCTGTGCTTACAAATGGGAGTTATTATGGTTTTAAAACAAATGTGGAACAACTTCATGGAACTAGGCTATCCGTAAGTTCAGATGTTAAAGTTCATTTTAAAAACAGTAAATCCATGTTAGCCTGATTCAGTGATAGGGAGAAGTGGTTTTATGTTTGGACAATGTTTTCACTCATTCCACCTCAGACATTGTCACTTTATTCCCAAGGAAAACATCGTCTTCCACTCTGAGATAAAGATTCTCAGGGTATGTTAAGCATCTCAGTTGTTGATTAGGATTTCATTTTCCATAATACAGAGATGTTCAGCCTCTGAAATGACTAATCAGCTAAGAGTCTTACACTTCTCTTAAAACGGTAAGAATATGTTTCCTGTATAATATTGATCATCAAATATTGATCAAATTAAAGTCTCAACCTTGAAAATATGTTAGAAAGGATTTTGCTCACAACATGAAATTTGCAATTGTTCTGCACATGAGAGACAGTGTACTGTATGTTGTGGAATGAGGATTTTTGAAATTAAGAAACCTACTTTAACTGCCAGGCTTCCTGTCTTCTCAGCCAAGCAGGACGTTAACCTTGTCTAAAATTTATTTTAGAACATGCTAATGTTCTGTTACGGAAATAAATGTTTTGTTTTGACAAAACCATTGTTTGCAACATAGGCAACTGTTTATCTTTCAAAAAACAAAAACTGCTCTTTCAGTAACAAGAGGGATCAAGAGCCAAACACTAAATTAGCTTGAGAGAAAAAAGAGCAGCCTTTTTATGAAAACACTTAGAAGAAAGTTATTTCCCATCCTTAGTCTCTCTTCCATATTATCTAGAAACAAATAGAAGCCTTTAGTTAGCCCATGTGTCAGTACTAGATAATATTTTTCATTTAAATAACATTTTAATTCATGAGCCTACTATCTCCATAATATTTATGACTACTTTGTGAAAAGATTTTGCACAGCTTTATGAAGAATAGTCTTAAATATTTCCACATACAGCAACACCTCTTTAAATGCTTTTTCCTGCTTTAAGAAGAGAAGTATTCTGTAGAACATCTAGACCTTTACGTTTGTTCAAAAATATATGTATTCTACTATTCAGTGTGTTTTATTATGGTATTTTTACTGGGTTCCACTGACGTGGTTTGTCTTTTACAGGATTGAAATAAAGCATTATTTATTTTTTAGTGCTCTTGCTATGCATGCTTTTTTATTTTTTTTTTATTTATTCATTCAGGTAAATCCTACCAAAATAAAAAAAGTCCATGCAAGCATGTTCCATATTCTGAAAAGCTTATTTATACAATGCAAAACATGCTACATTAAAGACAATTAAAATAATAATGCAGAATTATGAGATCTTCTGTAAGTTCTTTGCATTATATCTAAGAGGCTATTGTAAAATTTTCCATAAAATATTTAAGTAATCATTCAGATGCTGTTCAAAACAGGGCTGTTTATTTCAGAACAGTACAAGAACATATTTTAGATCTGTGAGCAGATACAGTCATTAATACTCTCTTTATCTAATAAAGTTTATTACAGAATTGGTGGTCAAGACGCAAAATGAAGAGAAGAGGGCAATCAATGGAGAATAAAATTTCTCTACCTCAATGGGAAAAAGACTGGAATCTGCAACCTATGAATCTCCATGGTTTAATGGACGAATATTTAGAGATGGGTGAGCAAATCTGGGAGGTGTTGGTTTTCTTCAGAAGGTAGAACTATGTTGCAAGTTATAAGATTTTTTTGAATTTCCAATTTCTAACCACGGAAATGCCTGTCTAGTTTTACAGTTTGGCTTTACCACCATCTTTGTGGCTGCCTTCCCCCTGGCACCTCTCCTGGCACTGCTCAACAACATCATAGAAATCAGATTAGATGCATACAAGTTTGTCACTCAGTGGCGAAGACCCATGCCTGCAAGAGCAACAGATATAGGTGAGAAAACCCAGTGACTGCCACTGCCAGCTACCGTCTCTTTGGGTTTTCCTCTTGAGAACAGCTCCACCCCTGAAGTATTTCATGTATCAGGATGATGACATAACCAACAGATTTCAGTGACAGCTTTCCTTTTTGGCAACAAAGAAATAGTTGGTTGATTTGCATAGAGGATTCCTCCAGTTTGTTTCCCATTTACAATAAGGAATTGTTATAATTTGAATATTGGAAACAGGCTAAAATTATTTCAGGCTTCTGATTTGTGGAACTCTAGGTCTAAAATAAATTGAATTTAGAAGTTAAATAAAAGGACTGAATTAACTTTTAATTTAAAATTTAATTAAATAAGAAATCTCTTTCCAGAACTTCCTATTTGGCCTTCATAACAACTTGTTATGGCTTTGTTGCTTGGCTTATCTTCTCAGCAGGGTGTGCCCTGTTGTAAGATTTCATTTGAGTGGCACGGGTGGTGGCTGCAATGTGGGGACATGGCTTCATCTGATTAGTTTTTCTGTCTCATAACTTATTCTCTATAAGAAAGGAAAACTGTATGACTAATAATGACTTTATTATCACTGATATGACTCAATATGACTATAAAAAAGCTGACTATTTTATTGATATTTCTCTTGTTTCTAGGTATTTGGTATGGAATTCTGGAAGGAATTGGAGTTCTGGCTGTCATCACCAATGCCTTTGTTATTGCCATTACTTCTGATTACATTCCACGTTTTGTCTATGCATACAGATATGGTCCCTGTACAGATCAAGGGTACAGACAAGAAAAGTAATTAGGATATTCTTTATATATACATGTATTTTTGAGTGGAACACAATTTACTGCTGTATTTCTATGATAACATATATCAGATATATTTCTTTACACCTGTGCAAACCTTCCCAGATCTGAAGAGTAAGTCCAAAGAGTTTGCAGAGTAGCTCTTTATAGAAGTGGAAAACCATCTCTTCCCTCCTGAATGCAAACAAAAAAGTCTGTACATTGCATCAGTTCTCAGATCTTTTCTAGATAAGCTTTTCCTCTTCTCTGCAGTAGGTCTATGCTGTCTTCTCCAGTGCATTCCCAAATACGCATATATGCTCCCAAAAATAGTGATTTACTCTTCCTGAGCTGTCACAGGAAAAGAGGGTTTAAGGGTAAAAATAGTGAGATGGGATAGGAAGAAAAGAGACACTATCAGAAAAACGTTAGTGCTTGATGCACCCTACCCGTTTAAGAGAGAACTGTGTAGTTCTTTTGTCAGTAGTGGTTTGAGGTATTACAGCAAACCAGAAGATCCAGGATTGTAAAAGGATTCCTCACGCATCTCTTCTTATATCTTCTTTGACTTTCAAATGTGCTTTAGTTGTTACAAGACATTTAAAGAAGATAGGATATCTTTCATGTCTGTGTGCTTTTCAAGCAACAGCAAAAGTTCACTCCAACAGTCATAAATCATATATTTATATAATTTCTGTAATTAATAGTAATACATTTTTGCCTTTAATGTAAGTGTTTGGTATATATACACTGTTCATGTTACTGTTGATGAAAACTCATAAAACCTGTTATTTTTTGTATATGCTGCATTATTGGTGGCCAAGTCTGCAAGGGTGTTAAATTATTCTGCTCTCTGTCTTTCTATCCATCTTTCAAAGATCAGTAATTTTAGAAAACAGTTAAAAGCCTTGTAGCAACAATTTTTGTTTATATCTCCCAGCAGGTAAGAAGCAAAACTATAAGATGTGCTGAAAATAGACTTAAACAGTGCTATAGCTGAAACAGTTGTTAGTCCTTTTTTTCCAGTAAAATTTGCTTCTCTGCATGAATTTCAGAATTGCTTTTGTCCTGATAAGCAAGTAAAGTATTATGCTCACAGTATCTGATAGCAGAATATGTTTACATACAGGATGTTTATTGTATAACCACTTTATGAAGAAAGTGCTGCCCATATGGCTTTTTCTTTCAGATGCTTAAAAGGATATGTCAACAGCAGCTTGTCAGTATTTGATTTGAGTGAACTTGGGATGGGATACTCAGGATACTGTCGGTACGTTTCCTTGCTCTCACTTATTGCAATACAGGCATGGACATTAATGCAGACAGTAAATTAACAGTGCTGAAATTGCTGGCATTCCTTTTTTGCCCTTAAAAGCGTTGGAGTTCATGTTTGTTCAACATGGAGTCCTTGGGTACAAAGAGTGTGTGGTAAGATACACTGCTAACATACTGGAAATTTGTGTTTGAAGTTTTTGTAGGACTCCTGCAAGCCATTATCTGTCATGTCTCTATGAATTATTTAATATAATTGTTTTACCAGCTGCCAAGAAGGGTAAAAATCCTCATTTCAATTTTGTTAAGCATTCTCAAATCAATAAATTAAAATACACAATTAAAATTTTTGTTACCTCTCTAAACCAGATTGAGATTGCAATTCTTGCAAACAATTATGCAAAATGAATATAAGAAATACAGCATAAAAATGAAATAGGACATGAGCACACTTCTGTTTTCTGACTTAGGTTTGCAGTAAGCATTAGTTTAAATTAGGATCATATTTCATTTATGCAAACTTTTTCTGGAGACTCTCAAAGGCTTGTAAGCAAAGACAAGAACCAATTTAGAATCAATACACTTAACACTCCAGCTTTGTAACAATAAAAGAAACTGTTTGCTCTGGATTTTTGGAAGCAAAAAGTACTGTCTCATAAACAGCTTTATTTAACAGCCCGTATTCTGGACAGCTCTCCCTTTCAGTTTAACTCCTCTTGAAGTCTGCTTTCACTTCAGTTTCTCTCCTTTTAGCCAGATCTGGGATGAATCAGAGAGCCCTTGGCCATGTCAAAAGTTTTAGTTGCTCAAGAGAGCACAGAGTAACTCACTGGGTTTCTCTTTGCTCTGCAGGTACAGAGACTACAGAGCCCCACCATGGAGTTCGACTCCGTATGAATTCACTTTGCAGTTTTGGCATGTCCTGGCAGCACGACTGGCCTTCATCATAGTATTTGAGGTTAGTTGTGGAAGGGAGCAAGCCTATTCTACCTTTTATAGGTCTGAATTGATTCTTTATAGTTGTCCTATAAGTAAATTGTCATTTTAATCAATTGTTTGTTCATTACGGTCAAGACAGAGGAAAAAAAATTGTGTTCCCCAAACTGTTGACTATCAGCTACTTCAAACAGAACTGACAGAGCATGCACTTGCTGTAGAACTCCTCTAAAATCATATTTCCTTGACAGTCGTCTTATCCATCATGTTGGTTCCCTGCCCAATTGTTCCTATTTTATTGAAAATGAAGAAATGCAAGTTTCATGTATATTAGGTACAGTTATTACAAGATAGAATGTGTGTCAGGAAGATGATACATGATTCTAGGTTAATATAAAAGTTGAAACATGTATACTAAGTTTGAAGTACGTATTGCATACTCCCCAGGACTCTAACCACCTATTTCCATGATAAGCCCTGAACAAAGACTGCTTGTAGGTAGTGTTGGCATTTGTTGATCAAACTAGCATATCCTGTAGTCACATCTTCATTTAAGTCACCAACTCTACTCTTTGTTTTCCTTCTTAGAAAACTTCAGCATTTGCCCATTTCTTTTAGATGACTCATTTACTCCCATAGGAGTGTTTTTATTAAGAAAAAAAACCAAAGGAGTTGCCTTTCAGTCACAAATTGAATCTCAGTTCCAGTTTTGCCACAGACTTTTAGGCTCTAAACTGTAGTCCTACAAAGGAATACTTATTGATATGTTAAGCAATTATTTTTGTTTTTCTTTTCAGCATCTTGTTTTTGGAATAAAGTCTTTCATTGCCTACCTAATTCCAGACATACCCAAAGACTTGTGTGACAGAATGAGAAGAGAGAAATACTTAGTCCAGGAAATGATGTATGAGGCTGAACTGGAACATTTGCAAAGAGAAAGGAAAAAGAATGGGAAACAGTATCACCATGAATGGCCTTAGTCACTACAATGCTACAACAAAAACACTTTGGAATTGGAGAGAGAAGTTGCAAAATGAAGTCAAATGTGAGATTTGGTGGTGGTGTATTTATGTTCTTGCTAGGCAGTGCAATTGAATACTTTGGTGGGCGCCGAGAAATGGATGTTTCCAGTGATGTCAATGAAAAGCCTTACCTGTAACTGGTCTGTGATGAGCTCCAATGATAATTGGCATTCAGAAATGTGCAGAGTAAAAATCTGAACACTGTTTAAAAAAAGGCAATGGGTTTTCATGCTGTTTATGAAGATACTATCAGCATGATGAAAACATAAAATTACCTGTGAACCTATAGAGTAAGGGCATGACTAAAACCAACTTACATGATATCCACTACTTCTACAGCTTCTGATTGCTCAGCTCCATCTGTAATGCCTCTGAAGAAAAGAGCAATTGTTGCCTTTGTGGCCATGACTTGATCTTTAAGGCTTACTGTTTTGTCAGGTTTGTCCTAGTCTCTTGTTGAGATTGTGGATGTGGTCCTACCCTAAAAAAGGGGTCTGTGGCTGCTAAATATATACTATGCAGTTTAAGATTTGCACATTAGTGTCATTAGTGTCATTAATTTATACATCTAGTTGAAAACCAAAAAGTCCAAATTCAGAAAGAAAACAGCAGCACCAGGAGAAGGTAATTTTCTATTTGAAAATTACACAGCTGTTGAGTTGTCCTTGCACTTTTCTGTGTGAAAGGCCATCTCCACACGCTCCCAGCATGAAAGAACTGTCATTTTCATGCTAACTGTGTTACTGTTCCTCTTGATCTGCCTGGGCAATGATTCCATCACTTCACAGAGTGCTAACTTGAAATACTCCCATGCAGTGCAAATTACTTTCTCTTCAAATACAATTATATCTTTATAGTATGCAAGCTTCTGCCAATATATATGAGACATACAGTATAGCATTGTGGCTTGCTTTTTCAGGGAAGGAGAAGAAGAGGAATTTGTAACAAGGTTCTTCTTGTAATAGTAAATGTTGCAGTAATGTACACTTCTTTTATTGGCCTAAATATGTCATAACAATGGAGCTGGATACAGGCAAATATGTATACAGATTGTATATAAATGCATACACACACGGTATTTACTATTATTATTATTAGTAGTATGCCTTCTTACACTTGGGGTGGATTTTTTGATAAAATCACTAAAAAAGTAGATGTTCATTGAAGAATCAAATTTCAATTTTTATGTGCAAACAGCATACTGCAGTGTTGCTTGTGGTTAATAGTCACATTTTGGTGATGAAATTGTCTGTTACTAGCATTTCATAATACAGGAAAAGCGCTTAATGTTTAAACAAATTTAAGGGATACCTTGAAGGGAAGGGAATGGATAAACAGAGTTACAGTTGTTCTGTTTCTCTCCTACAGTTTTAAATAATGCTTTTCTGTATTGGATGAGAAAAATCTAAAAAAAAAAGAGTCAGCAAAGCACAATAGCTACAAAGTCTACAAATTTTGACATTATTTTTAGGGATAAAGCTGCAGCAAAATCACTGCTGGCAGATATGAAAAGACCTGAATTTTTGCTATTTACATTAATCTTGTGTAATTAAAAAGTGTGATTTTAGTACTCACTTGCATTTATTAGCACAATAATTTTATTTTATTTCACTGAAATGAATTTCAAGAGTCAAGAGCCCATCAAAGGATCTGTTGTATCCAGAGAGCCTAACATCAGACTTTCAAGTTCTTCAGTGGTTTCACCACATTCATGAGCTTTCTTGATTAATTTCAGCTCTGTTACCAGGCAAGGCACTTGTAGGAGTATCTATAGTACGGCATAAAAGGAGGAAGGAAATTTAAAGATCTGGCCTAATCAGGTATATTACCCATTCATTCTGTGATAAAGGGCGGATGGAACACAGCTTGCCATATTTTGGAAAGGCTGTTTTGTTCCTTCATCTTCTGGGTTGTGCATTGAATTCCTCAGAAGTCATTATCAGAAAAAATTACTGCACTCTCTTCAGTGCTAATACAGTCACGAGGTTTGATTTAATTTATTGTTTCTTTGTCTCATTCTGTGGACTGTCAAGCACTGCTTGACAGCAGTAACCGTGTTTCACAGTTTTTATTTGTGTGCCAGCTTGTGATAATATTTGAATGCTACAGAAGGCCACAAATGAGCTCATTGTAATATTTTCTCTAAAAACAAAATGTCTTGGCTGGCCCAAGTTATAAAGATACAGAGTAAAATCAGGCAAAAATCAGAAACATTATTTTATACTTTTTTGGTTTTGCTGTTGATATTGGCATGTGTCAATACATACCAAGGCAAATTCCAATGGGAGTTCAAAAACCACATTAAACAATCTTTTTGTATTTGAGATTTACATTTATATATATTATGAATTTTTTCAACACTGGGATATAAGAGCGTATGAAAGGCAAGTATGTAGATCTGACATGGTGCATTTTATGCACTGGGAAAGGACAAGAAGTTTGGAGAAACACTCTGTGTGTCCTTTACTTTTGGAGGACATCAACTGTCTAGCCATTTGCTTAAGCAGAGAAACCTTTTTGCTGGACTTTGCTCAGTATGCTGTTTTCATTGACTGCACGTTATTTTCATAAATAATAAGGCACACACTGTCCTCAGGAATAATGTATTTTTTGAATGGTGAATGATCTTATAATATTTTAAATATTGTCTTTTCAAACAAATGACTAATATGACTAGACTGTGCATGCAGGCTGCATTTGTGAAATTTGACAAAGCTTTAGAACCTCAGTTTGTGCAAAAATGCTTTAGATAATTGCAGATCTAATCTATGGAAAGTTTGCTCTATGCATGCGCCCTTAGAGAGACTGCATGAGCAACTGGATTTTTTTATATATGAAGTATTTGTTCAAAATGTGTTAATTATTCTTAACCAAATTCTGCATCTTGATTCAGACAAAAAATATTTCTATTTCAGGAATGGCACAAAGTCCAGATACATGAGATGCACCTCATTTCTTACAACTTTTTATTCTTAATTTGTGCCTAATGTATGAGATATGAATTTTGATGAATAAAAAAAGGAAGATAAGAATTCTATTTTATTGCCCATCCTAATGAGAGGTTCCCCTAAGTTTGTCTCTACAATCAGGGAGACATTAAGAGTATTCACAACTGAGTGCTAAGGCTTGCCTGAGTGTTGAACTCAGCTCCCACAGCACACTGACTGAGAATCCTTCTTTGGATATTTGGAAACAAGGCAAACCTCATGATGAGTTCAGTAAAGCCTTGGAAACTGTCACCCATGGTGTTCTCCTGGAGAAGGTTGCAGCAGGTGCACTCTTAGCTGGGTTAAAGCTAGATGGCCATGCCCAGAGGGTGGCAATGAAAGCTGTTTATCCAGCTGGCAGCTGGTCAGGAGTGTGGTTCCCCAGGGGAACCACTTCTGTTGGGGCCAGTTCTGTTTAATGTCCTTATCAATGATCTGGACAAGGGGATCAAGGGCATCCTCAGTGAGTTTGCAGCCAATCCGAAGTTGGATGGGACTGTTGAAGGCTCTGCAGAGGGACCTGGACAGGCTGGATCCATGGGCCCAGGTCAGTGGAGTGCTCAGTGTGGCCAAATGCCGAGTCTTGTCCCTGGATCACAAGAACCCATTGCAGTGCTGCAGGCTGGGGTAGAGTGGCAAAGGAGCTGGATGTGCTGGCCAGGAGCAGCTGAGCATGAGCCAGCTGTGCCCAGGTGGGCACAAAGACCAATGGCATCCTGGCCTGTGTCAGAAACAGGGTGGGAGCAGGAGCTGATTGTCCCCCTGCACCTGGCGCTGGTGAAGCCATGCATTGAGACTTGTGTGCAGTTCTGGCCTCGCAGTTCCAGGCAGACACTGAGGTGCTGGAGCATGTCCAGAGAAGGGCAGTGAAGCTGCTGAGGCATCTGGAAAGATTAAGTCATAGGAAGGATTGGTTGAAGGAGCTGTGGTTGTTTAGTTAGATGAGGAGGCTCAGAGGAGTCCTATCACTCTCCACAACTAGGTGGAAAGAGATTGTAGCAGGTGTGGGAATCAGCCTCTTCTACCAGGCAGCTAGGGACAAGACAAGGGAACATAACCTCAGGCTGCACACAGTGAGGTGCAGGTTGGATATCAAGAAGAATTTTTTCATTGAGGGTATTGAAACAGGTTGTCCTGGGAAGTGGTGGGGTCATCATCTTTGGGTGTGTTCAAGAAATGACTGCACATGGCACTTAGTGTTGTGATTTATTTGTCATGGTGATACTTGGTCAAAGATTGGACCTGATAATTTTGGTGATGTTTTCCAGCATTAATGATTCTGTTTTTTCCTGTTTTCATTCAAGGATTTGAGAAAATGGTGACAGAGATAAAATTTCAATAGTGATTAAGTGAGCTTTTTTTGTCTTAGATGCTTCTTTGGAAGTACATATCTTCACTAGTATGAAATACATATCAGCTGTGGCCTTTTCCAACAACAGGTTGTCATAAATTGTTGTCTGAGCACAGTTAGGCTCAGTTGTGTCCTGTGGAAAGTTAAAAAGGAAAATATCTAGACAAATTGGTACATAAAGGTTAGTAGATAAATACCTTAATGGAAAAATTAATAAATTTCCAGAAGTTTCCTTCATAAAAAGTTCTACAGAAGGAAAAATACTTTGGGAAACATAGCTTCAGAGCAAGTATTAATATGGGGAAAGGCAAGAGTTTTGGCGATATTTTATTCTTAATGTGCCATTAAGATGATCAGTCTAATCATATATGTAATGCACATCCTTGCTATGGCTTCCTTCACTGCCAACTCCAACTGAGAGTGTTGCCAGAGAGAATTTCTGGAGCTAGGGAGTCTGTTGGAGTTACCTGCCAAGTCCTACATGGCATTGTGGGACTTAGCAAACTTTTGCATTATATAACAATTTATTTGGAGGCAAATTAGCATAGTTAGCCTGTAAATGTCACTAATTTCCATTAAAACTATTATAAACTAGATTTTTAATATATATACTGGATAGTAGCCTTATCAATAAAGCTCATTTTATACAAACAGCTACTTATGAATGCGATAAAGT